CTAAAGTGGTCACTCGTGGTTTATGTGAGATGTTCTATACATAGGTGTTGAGATACCTCATGTACTAGTATTAAGATAACTCACCATCTTGACTGAAAATACAGGAACTAACAGAACCCTCATGTCCTTCATTCAAAGAAAGAGGTTCATGACACTGGAATTCTTCTGTCTTTATATCCCATATTTTTAAGCTTCTGTCCCAGGATGCTGTGCACAAGTAATGGCCATCAGAGGTAAAGCAGCAATCTGAGATTACATTGCTGTGTCCCCTGAAACACAGATGAAAAACACAGGAGGAGTGAGCTTTTGCAACCATTACAAATTTCTCAGAGAGCCTCCTGCAACATTGAGCACCCTGTCTCCATCCAGTAAAGCATCACAAGCATATTCTGAATTTTAACCATATGAATAGTTCTGTAAAGTCTCTGGAACTGCCGACAACCTCACAGTCAGCACAAGTTTAAATCCCTTACTGGATTAGGTCATTTTGCAGGATTGAACCCTAGCTGCCGAGTGAGAAGTGAGCAGCTTTTTTTTCTTTTTTGTTGAACAGCTTAACAAGAAATTTTTCAGTAGCTACAACACAATCACATTTTACTAAAAGTAAATTACAAAAAAGGCACTCATTTTCATTAAATAAATAGCATGCACCTATCCCTACATGTAAATTTAAACTCAAACATTCAGAGGAAAAATATTAAACAACTCTAGATTAAAATATAGTTTTGGAAGCAGTGATACGCATCAGAAAAGAAATCTGGATGTTCCAGAACTGGGTGAGGACTCTAGTGCTTCCTGAAATCTACAGTGGGGAAAGGATTATGAGCATCTCTTACAGGAAACAGTGCTGTAGTCACTGCAATTTAAAAGAAATATTACAGTGTTCCAGATTGAATTTCCCATCCAAAGTAATTCCTAATCCCTCAAAGACAATTTTATTAGTGTTTAAAGGCAGACTCTCTCTCTGATTATTGTTTTAAGAATTCAAAGCTAAATTGGTTGAGTTTATTTAAAGCTATTGATATTTTTAACTGTTGATTTGGCATCTCTATTGTTGCATACTTCCTTCTTAAAATGATAACAATATCCTAAATTGACATAATGTTTTTACTGTATTACTGACTTCAGTGAGAGATAGAAGAATTTAGAATGTGAAGGCTCAGGAGATCATACTGAGTAAGGCTTCCAGTACTGGGCATGACATTCTCCAAAAGCTTATAAGGAAAAATGATCTCTGTACTCAGAGAGTGACCATAATTGGTTCACTGTGAAAATGAAAGTGCATAGTGAGCTGGAGTCCACAGCATCTGTCCTGAATCCAGTCCTGGTTCATACTTCCATTAACAATGTAGATAATGCCATAAGGGGCACAAGCTGGAACACAGGACATTCCACTTAAACATGGGGAAAACATTCTTTACTGTGAGGGTGCCAGAGCACTGGAATGAGCTGCCCAGAGAGGCTGTGGAGTCTCCATCTCTGGAGATGTTCAAAACCTGCCTGGACACTTTCCTGTCCAACCTGCTCTAGGTGAACCTGCTCTGGCAGGGGGGTTGGACTAGATGATCTCCTGAGGTCCCTTCCAACCCCCACCATTCGCTGATTCTGTAATAAAGAGTACAGATGTGAAATGAAGCCAAAGAGGGTCTGCAATTATACAAGGGAGAAGATTAAAATTCAAAATTATCTTCACAAATTGAAGAAATTATCAAGAAAATAAAAGGGTTATAACAGTACAGTAAACAATGCTGTCGTCACTGCAGTTTGTAGGAGCCTTACAGTGTTTAATCAATTATCTAATATATGTGCTGCCTGATCAGGTCAATTTTGTCAAGTCTGACATTCTGTAGTAACAGACAAATAATGGATGCAAGAAATACCGATTCCTTTTCACCATCATGCTGTCAAAAAAAGAGTAAATCTCACCCCAGGAGGTATCAACAGGGGCACATCCACAGAGAAACATGTAATAATAATTCACTGCTATTATAGTAATTAACTATAATTATTATAATATTTGCATTCTTAAAGTATAATTACCTGCTTAAGTGCTCCCTAAGACTCTGAGCAGTTAACTGTCATTGGCCTGATGGGGACACACTTCCAGACTGAAGTTCAGGAATGGCGCAGAGAAATGAGTTACTACAGGGCATGTGTGGTAACTGCATGTGAACGTACGTTAACGATGTGTGTTGAGTGCCTGGGTGCACTCAACTTAACTATAATTATTATAATAATAAATCAATCCCTCTGTTAGAGAGAATACTGTTTTACATTATGGGGCCATATACTTCAAGAAAAATGCGGGCAATTGGAAAGATCCAAGAGATCAACAACAAGAATGATCAGTAAAATAGGAAGTAATAATTAAATATTAAATTAATAAGGATGGTTTAATCTACTGAAAAGATGGCTCAGCAGATATAATAGAAGTTACTGGATATATATAAAAATGTAGAAGAAAACAAGGGAATAATCTGATCTCCATGTCTGAAATGGATCTGAACAGAAACATGTGAGCTTAAACTGCAGCCAAAATAGTCCACCTTAGGAAAATTATTCTAATGATTAACACGAGACAACAGAACAGATTGCTTGAAAGTCTGTGAGGTCTTCACTGAAGCTCATTAGGAGCAGAGTAGATCATCCTGTGGTTGCTCTGACGCCCATGAATTTTATGAAGGACTAAGGTGATCTGGTTGACAGTGCAAAACCTAATTATCACAAAATATTCTGTAAGAACTCATGATTAATTATCAATTCCCAGCATCTAGATATATTTTCTCCTTTTCCTCTGTATTATTTTTGCTTCACTCTGTAATGTTTTTAAAGACTTCACTAAGTAATATTTTATCTCCTTATTCATCAATAATTATACATTTTTCCTAATTAGCAGAAATTAGAATGAGAAGTTTACACTGCAGTACCATATTGCATATGCTATCTTCTGCCTCTATATATACCCAAGAACCCAGAAGCTCTGAAAAAATAGCACTAGAAATGTTTAAAGCCATCAAAATACATTTTTTCAATTATTTACAGCAGGAAGCTTGAGTGGACCATTTTATTCACATTTTCTATATATGTTATTTGCTTGCTTATTACTTTATTTAGTTCCACAATTATCATTTATTTTCTTTAGCACAAATTAGCATAAATCTCTCTGATAGTTGTGAGAGATGCTAATAATGCCATGGATAATTAACTATAGTATTGTTTCTTACTCATTAATGGTAATTGAGGTGGATCGTGTTATCATATCCCATAGCTTTATGGTCTTATCATATGATACTGAAGCCACTCTTCGGTTATCAGGGTCAAAACAACATCTCGTGATTGTGCTTTTGTGATGACCTATATAAAAAAACAAAGTGAGACTACTAGTTATTTTGTGTAATTACATCTGGATCTCAGAACACAGGTCTGAAAGGCAGAACTACCCATAGCATCTATGTGTCGGTCTGTTTCCAAAACACTGTCATTTCAACATTGGTACTTCACTGGCTAGGACACCTCCTCACCCACCTCTCAATGGGAGAGAGGCCCCACAGCTCCTGCAGACAGCAGGAAACACGAACCTGCACCCAGGCACTCAACACACATCGTTAACGTACGTTCACATGCAGTTACCACACATGCCCTGTAGTAACTCATTTCTCTGCGCCATTCCTGAACTTCAGTCTGGAAGTGTGTCCCCATCAGGCCAATGACAGTTAACTGCTCAGAGTCTTAGGGAGCACTTAAGCAGGTAATTATACTTTAAGAATGCAAATAGCTGCATTAAAATAATGTAAACCAAATAAATCCTGATACTGTCACCTAACAAAGACAGTTCTAAAAAAAGTTATTATGATCCATTTGTTGCATGTTTTATTTTTAAATCCAAATGATTTTATCATCAGGCTCTGATTCACAGGAGCACATTAACCACATGCTAATTTAATATTCATAATACTGCTCATATATTTAGAAGCTGATTCTGTAAGAATGGCAAATTCCCTGACCTGCAGTCCTGAGTGGAAGCCCCATGGGACTGAGGACTCACTAGTGAAATTACCTTCAAAGGGAAATAATAATTCAAAAAAGAATCTCTGTTGTTCTGGTTTTGGCCCATTATCTCCTCTTTATAAGCCTGTTCTGAAAAATATTGGGCTTAATGTCTTACAGATAAGCCTATTGTGCCTTTCTCAAGTAAGGATATTTGAATCACATTTAATGGATTAAATCTCTTTTTTTGGTAAGAAATTTTTAAAAATTCTAGAGCTGCATAAACAAGATGTAAACGTCCTATGTCTCACCTTGGATATGTGCCACTACTGTTGCACTTGTTGCATCAAAAATATATATGGTATATTCTTTTTCTGAACCAGATACCACATATCTACCATCACAAGAAATATTACATGAAGTTACAATGCTTTCATGTTCTACTGTCCACTAAAGAGAAAACAAAAGGTTTTAGAAACATGTTTGAGGGTTAGAGAGTTTTACAGCATACTTTCTATAATCTGTAAACAGATTCATAAAGAAGGCTTTTGATAGTACTTTGTTTTGGTAAAAGCTGATAGATGTCTTTATATCCAATTTTTCTCTTTGCTTTAGCAATAAACTTAAGACTAGACAAGGCCACCCTGTTCAAATCCTACAATGTTAATTTAATCAATCTTAAATGTATCTTCTGAGATAGGTTATTATTATCGTACCTATTTGTACCTGAAATAACAGAGACATGCTTGTCAAGAGACTTACCCAGGATCGAGCAATTATCAGCACCAAAACTAGGAATAAAAAAAAATCAAGCACACCTATCCTGACTATATTGTGTAGCACTAACAAAGAATGTTTTGTTTTCTTATTTATCAATAACAAAGCAATAAATTGGAATTTTACAGTAGTACCTTCTGCAGGATGCATTCCAAAGGATACATACAAGCATTTTTCCTGTTTCCATGTCCCAAGCCTTGACAGTGTTATCATACGATGATGTTACCACTCTAAAAATGATTTTAATGAAAACAGCAATGTTTTCACTTAAAAGAAGGTATTTAAAAAAATAAATGACATCTAATTCTGACAATGATTTGATATCCTCACACCCACTAATTCAAAATAGATTTTTAAAGGCTACAGCAAAAATTATTGCATAGCTTAGTTGAAAAAAGGATTATTTATATTTCAGATAGAAACTAATAAAAATGTCATGTATGTAATTTTCAGTGCAGTCAACCCAATTTCATTTCACCCATTACAAGATATTTAATTATTTTTAATTTTAGAATAATTTTAAAGCCATTATGATGCCTTTTCTTTAATGAACGTGTTCTTGTCAGCAGGGTTTTTTGGATTTTCAGTGGTTACGTTGCTGGGTTACCCTTTACCACAAACACTGCTCTGCACAAACACAAAGCCACATTAGACAATAAAGCTCTTCAATAAAGTTTACTAAAACTGGCAGGTTTCCATTAAATGGGAGGTCAAAGATTTTTCCCTCACACAGTTTTATTAAAATATCTAAAATAATATTTATATTGAAAGTCACTGGATGCAACAAGTGTTTTTAGTACCATTATGGTTTTTTATTTTTATCAAGTTCATAAACTGTCACTTTCATACATTTTGCCCAAGAAACTCAATGCATTAACATTCTAACAACTACAAGTACAATTATACTATTAAAATATTTTTATCTTCTCCATATGTATATACTTCCTGCAACCAACACAACCTCTGCTCCTAAATGGAAACATGTAATGCAAAAGACCACAGGACTTTATGAACTGGTGACATTTTTGACTGGAAAATGGTTTCCTGGGCTATAAACAATGGTATTTTGCTTGTTTAGCAATTTTTTTAAGTATACACAATTGCAATAGGCAGTATTGCATTTGTACCGTTCAGTGATCAAAAAACTAGTAAGTCAACTCTACAATCTGATAGAAATTGATTTAAAGTATGACTTAATAATAAAATAAGCCAGAAATAGTACCCTTGGAGGCACCTCATGACCTACTTAACCAAATGTTAATATATGCTGCAGTTGTTTTAATTAGCATGTCCACAGATTGACATTGGATTAAGATGCATTTCTTCTTTAATTGACAAGACGGGTTTAATGGAAAGGCTATGGAATATTAATACAGACAGAAGAGAACTTTTATGAAGGTAAAAATCTCCCTGACAGATGAATCCCTGAACCTTGGCTAATTCAATGTTGTTCTTTTACACAAGTGATATATATTCATATAGCCCTTTCAGAAAATACGGCAAAGACAGATTTCCAGCTCTGTATAACTCAGAAACAGAATTAGACAAGTCCTTTGCCTTAAAAGAGGCCATAATCTATCAGACATGCCTTTAAAACAATAAAAAGATTCCTGTTTAATTCAGCAGGTCTCATATTCCAAACAGAAAAGATTTAAGAGCTCCTGCGCAAGTTGTAGGTGAGAACAAGGTGAGATTTATGGTGGTTCAAGCAGATGAAGGAGTCTGGCAGTAAATAGTCTGCTAGCAGAGTATGGACAGCATAAATGAAAGTGCAAGGATGGAGAGAAGTAGGAGTGTATGGAGGAAGGGAGATGTAAAACAAAATTATAACAGAATAACATCACAGAGCACGAAAGCAAGCAAAAGAAGTTTGACTTTGATGTAGTACAAGCTAGGAAACCACAGTAAGGATTTAAAAAGTTATTTGTTCTAAATTTTGTACTATGTGTTTCTACATGCACTGAAATTGAACCTTGAAGTCATAAAAACTGGCACTTTTAAAAAAGAATAAATTAAGATAGAGAATGGTCACCTTCTGTCATCAGGAGTCAAGCTGCACTCAGAAACTGGGGCGCTGTGTTCTTCAAAAACTTGAACAGGAAAACCTTTCTCCACATCCTTGAATAAATCCAAACGAGTTTGATTAGGAAGTGCTTTGCTAAATTGTAAAAAAAAATACAAAGCATCACAAAATAAGGGAAAATAAACTTGGGAAATCAGTAAAGTTAATCTTACTTTAGTTACTCTTACAATCTCAAACTCTCTATTTCTTCATTTGAAGACTGACTGAAACAGAGTTCTCACTTGCACCCAAACTTCTTTTTATCCTATTTCCATCACAATAGTTTTCACCAGAAATTTTGTTAAAAGATTTCTCCTTGGACTCTTGCATCCATGGTCATACCTAAATCCTGGGAAGTCTCTCTTCATAAGCTAATATATGGCTTTGCATTTTCATTCACATAGTTAAAAAACACACACTCTCAAGGCCTGCCAGCCTTGTGTCAATCATTGCAACATCATTTTCTCCACAAATGCAGTCTCCCCGGCTTATATGCACGTGCAATGCTCTTCCACAGATTTCCCCTTACTGCCTGTATTATGTCATTCCCTCTACATTCCTTTATTCATTCCTTGTTCTCAACCACAAATACAAGCCTCTTGTCTTCAAATACAAAGCTCTGTGATTTAGCCCAAGACATCATCTCCATTCTGCCCTACCTTTGATGCCAGCCTTTGTCATTGAGGTGTTACATTTTCAAAATTTGAATTCCTTTTGCTGTCCTTCACGTTTTGAAGAAATCACCTATAAAAACTGGAAATCTCTCTAAATATACGAAATCCCACTTAAATGTCTGTTTTGTGATTCCTACAACAGCATTCACCAGATTGCTGAAGTGCTGAGATAATGACCCATGCTGCATTACTGGTTGATTTATATTTCGCCATCATCTTTTATCTACCTAGACTGTTACACAGAGTTTTAAGTGATTTATTTTTGTCATACATGTATAACGTTCAAAGCATAGTGCAATCCTAAGCCTTGAGTAAAGCCTTGAGGTTCTTCAGTAATACAAAGAAAAATATTAATCAAGTTTTACAAATGGATCATGTGCCTGACTGTAAACATCAAAACAACAAATAAACCAAACCAGGAGGACTGATGACATGCAGAATAACTCACAGCTCAGAGTATCACAGGATTAGTCATCATACCTTCATCTAGGTAAATAATCTTCTATGTCCATGATTAACCCAATTATTTCAATTAGATTTTTGTTTGCATAAATACCAAGAGGTTTCAGAATCAGTCTGGAAGCAGGCAACTCCCTTCATTGTGCGTGTGCTCTTTCATTTGTCTCCAACATGAGAAGAAAATCATGCACCTTTGACTACTACTCCCCTTTTTAACATCAGCTGTCAAGTCTCAGGTCTAGAGTTGTTTCCTTACAAGGGCTTTCACTTGCAGGAGCGAACCTGGCAGCTCTCGGTAACAGACACAACCCGAGTGAAAGTAAATTTATTTTTCACTTTTTCCACTTATTTTCTGAATGTGCTCTTTCACTGCTCTACAGGCCTAACAACTGACACTAGAATCATTAGGAATGTTTCTAAGACCAGAGGAAAAAAAATAGATCTAAGTTACCATATGTTCTTGTAATATTTTTCTGAGTCAAAAAAGCCTTACACTCACAACTGCTTTCCAGACTTATCTAGTCTTTGTCTGCTGTGCATCCTATTAACCTTTCTTTTCCAAAAGATGTGTGGACTGTCAGTAAGATACTGTCTGTTCTCAAGAGGAACTTCAAATGCTTTCTCAGTACACTCAATTGTTTGGTATCTACTCTTTCCAAGGCAAAAAAAGAGAACCCCAAAGTGAAATTGTCAGGGCTAGCTTAGCCCCCCACAACCAAGTCCTGCGTACTCTCCTGAATTCTAATTGCTTCAGCTGTTCCTGCAGAGGAGGAAATGAGGCTTGTCCTAACAAAATTAACCTTAGCAAATAAATGAAGATAATCTTGCACATACGTTGCTATCAGAAAATTCTCAATACTCAGGCTAATACTTTTAGTTGGATTCCAAAAAATAAGTATTGCTCAACAAGTGTTGAATAAATCTTTCTTAAATAAAAATTATAAAGATAAAATTTCTTAGATTAACCCTTCCACACTTTAGGCAAGAGGCACATTATAGCCTTTCCAGCAAAAAGAACATTAATGGATCTACTGTGCTTAAAAAAATAATGTATTATCTTTTTATATTCAGATCTTGATTTCAGTTGGCTTACATGTAAGACAGCTGAGTAACATTTCGCTAAAGATAGAAAAATACAAGTTCCAGTTCCGAGTTCAAAGCAGGAAAGTTAGTTTAGTAACTTACAGATTGACAGTTCCTCATGTAAATATCACGACTAACACACTGAGATACTTTTATCTACAATATTTGCTTAAGGTCTCCATGTGTTTATTTACTTTGGAACTGATCATTAAAAGATGGGACTTTTTCATTCTAGGCTTCCTGATTTCTTGGATTTGGCCATCCACAGCTCTTGGATACCATAATGGTGCTAACCTGAAAATTGCCTGGACTTTTTACACTTTTGGGGTTCTTGGGCTTTTTCAATCCAAACCTGAAAGAAAGGTTTGGATAATGGTAGAAACCCACTACTGCACTGCATAAAATTCAAGGGCTCACATAACTATATGTCTCCAAGATATCTTTTAGATTAAAATTAGATTTGATCACCCAGAATCTGTATACTTCCCCAGTTCAGATCCTGCCAGTGCTCTGCCCAAGGTGGCTGGAATTTTAGGGAAACCCCAGCTAACTACACAAAACTTGAAAGAGCAAGAAAATAAAGGGTGCAAATCAAGATTTAAATAAAAGAAAACACAAGTATGAAAACACCACAGCCATGCTAATAACAACTGTGTGATCCCTAACTTCTGCTTTCCTCCACAAACAGCCACATATAAACAAGTCAGAAAAAGGAACCTTCAGGAGAAAAAGAATAAGCTTTGTGTATCAACTTACAATTTTAAAATATTAATAAGTTAAAGCTCTGATTCAGTGCCTGCTACATATGCTTACAAGTCACCCTTTAATGTCACAGAATGTGTATGAAATATGAAATAGGAGCTTTACTATTTATCTGTGACTACAAAAACATTTACAGTTGCTATTTTTAAACTTCAGTAAAATATCTTCAGAATGCTATTTGATGATTCAATCTTCACGTCTGTCTAACATTCCTTGTTTGATTTGAGCTTTAAGATTTTTTTTAATTTGTTGTTGTTGTGTTCGTAACATACCCAGAGCTTCACTGTTCTATCATAAGAGCATGAAAGTATTTTTGTGTCTTCAAAGCAAAAATGGCAGGAGCTCACAGTATCACTGTGTCCTCTCAGAATTTTAAATTGGATCTGTAAAGGAACAGAGCAAAGTTTAGGAATATTTTTCCTTGAAATTATTTTTGACATCTTAGTCCACGAGGGGGAGTACGAAAGCCAGAACCAGAGGAGGATATTTTAAGTTTCACTTCTCTGAGAAGCATTCACATCCTTTCCTTGGTACCAGCTTGGAACGGATTTACCCAATCTAGTTGAGAAGGAAAGGCTGATGGATAAGCCTTTATTTTTTATTTTTCTGGAGGGGAAGGAGGTTTGGTTTGTCTTCCCAATTCTTCTTCCTCTCATGAAAAGTAGTATTTATCTTTAAATCTCATGAAGTCTCTCTCAAGTCTTTCAAACACTCGTTTCCTTGATTCTGGCCGATCAAAGGGCAGCACATCAAGCTCTCAGGCCAAACATTTCAGCCAAGACCATTACAAATTTTGTCAGAGATATTTTGAAAAGGCTTTTCTTCAGTCGCTTGGGAGTTTGCTCACAACCGTCCAGCATGCATTTGTGTGAACAGAGCTAACAAAAAAAACTACCCCAAAAAACCCCACCCAGCTGCCACGAGCATTAACCACCCCTGAAGTGACACAGAGCTTTTCAGCCCTCAGCTGCCGGCAGCCCGGCCTGCCCCAGCCTCCCCGTCCGCCAAGTCCCTGCCCTACCTGCGCTGTGGGCTCATGGTCGCCCCATCGACCCTCCGCCGAGGAAGGATTCGGTTCTGGCAGCAGCCCCAGGGGATCCCCACGGCTGCTCCCCGCCGCCATTAGGCCCCACCCGCTGCCTCAGGCGGCCCCACAGCAGGTTCGTTCCTTCCAGGGCTGCGTCCCTGCTCCCGCCAAAACGCCTCTGGAACTTTAACACGGGACAGACTGCGAGTGACCACCGTGCAACGCAGCTGTCAGGATCACTTTCTTCCTGTAACAGAGGCAACCTCAAGGCCCAATGTCTTATTTCTCCTTCTATCACTCAAGTTTTCTTCTTGACTTTACATTTAAAAACCACGCACGCAACCTCTGTGTCAACACAAGACTGTGATACCACTTTGCTCTCATCAAGAGCTGCCACAAAGCTGTGGACACTGAAAAATACACTAAAATCAGGCCCGAGGGAACTGCCACCTACAATGGTGAATTTCAGTTAAGGCTTTTGTTCATAGTGTTTTGGTTTCCCCGTACACCTGGAAAGAGAAGTTCTGTGGGTCTATTTTAACAGCCTGATCACTCAAAAAGCAGTTCAGTATTATTTCATAGTTTACATTAAAATAACTCTACAAGATGGCCATTGCTTTTTAAATGTAGTGCATGAAACAAAGTGGTATCAAGTTTTCACCGTAACTACATAAAATAAGGCAGACTGTAATTATAATTACAAATCTTTTAATACATTAATCTTAATAATTTGTGTCAAAATGACAGTTTATTGGTTTAGGTCTGCTACAATAAATGCTATATACAAGCTGGAGATGTAAAAATAACTCCAAGAACAGGCAGATACTGCAAAACTGCAATGTGAAATTCTGCATTAGACTTGTTAAAAATACTTACACCCAATACAAATTCTACATTGTTTTAGTTTTTAACTTCCTGACTTAATTCAGACTAAAACTTACCCTCCAGCACTTTAGAGGTCCTACACAGTGAATTACCATACAAAAATGATTTGTAATAGTTAAGTTTATTAAAATACCTTGTTTCATGTTAATTAAAACAGAGCCTGCAGTATTTCAGAATTTGCTGCCCAGAAATACATCTTTTCAGCATTCCATAATACATACATTTTGAACATAGGAAGCATCAAAAAAATAAACATACGCACATTTACTTTCAAACAAATTCAATATGAATACAGTATCTACAGTGCTTCAAAGAATACATGATTGATCTACCATCATGGAGGAGATCAAAAATTTGAGATCAAGTCACAGAGCACTGAAGAAAGCAAGCTACCTCTTCAATACTGAAGTTGTTTTAATCTAAAAGGGAGAAAGAAAAAGAAAGAGGTCAGACTGAACAGTAACATGCTACTTTAAGAACATTTAATTAGTTGAGCAGTTTCTTAAACCTTAGTGTGAGAGATCTGATTTATGTTAGATAAAAACATTTTCTGTGATGTAGAGACATGGAAATGCAAAGAAAATAACTGCTTGTACAAAGAAGTCTAACTACTTTGTGCAAAATGAATAAAAACATATTTTAGCTATTTAGAAATCAAAGGAGAAGTAGCTTGGTTTTTTAATAAGAAAACACTAATATATAACTGAAGCTCAGTTCCAAAGGAATGGAAGGCAGAGTGCTTTTGAACACCAGCCTCTCCACTGGCTCACGTCCGTTCCATCCCAATCATTTTGCCATTAGGGCAGCTGGATGTGGTACTTCAACAAATGCCCTCAGCTAGAAAGAGACACTAAACAGAAGCCAACGTTGGCAGTGACTGTTCCAACATGGGATGCACTTAAAGTTGACTATGATCTGAACTAGAGACAGTTACTTTTGTTTGTACTTTACTTCAAGCATGCAAGAAAAATGCAATTATCTTTTTTGATTTTCTCATATCTGTTGGCACTATGATCCAGTCTCTAACTTATAAAAATGTAACAGCACAATCTAAATTTAGCAGACACGTGCATGACTGAACCATTATTCTGCTTGCTTCACTGCTCCTTGCTCAAGCACCGAATTCTCTTAAGCATCAGTGCCACACAATGGATCTATTTGAATCAGATCTTTCACTAATTATCAACAAACCAGACTCAGAACATTCTGAAGCAGACAATGTTGCTTCCAATGTTTCCACATAAACAGAAGGAGATAAAGAAACGGAAATATGAATCACCACCTGCCCTTGTTCAATTTTTAATTCCCATTCAAAATACCTTCCAAAAATAACAGTCATCTTTAAGTGTAAGCTCTATTACCTAGCAGATTTGTGTATTTAGTGCCCTTTACCTTAGAGACTTCTATCTTAAAATTAATCACCCTTCAGCTCAAGATGTCTAATATTTGTAATCTTTCCTTGCTTTCTCAAAAAAAAAAGCAGTATTTTATATTCATAAAGAGATCAGCTGATCCATATTTGCTGCAAATATGTTCACTAGAATGACAACTCATTCACTGAGGTTTTGATTATTCACTACAAAATCTGCAAGTGTTAAAGTAAACTTTCTGTTTACCTTCTTAGAAGTTCTTTGGGTGACAAGCCTGTGGTATCTATATCACTAAGGCTGTCACTGCTATCTGCAGTGTCTGAGCTGCTATCTTTTTCTGATTTTTTATTCTTGTGTTTTCCTTTGTTTTTCTGTTTCTTATGTTTCTTTTTCTGTAAAAAAGAAGAAAAATGATCCCTTAATTAATTGTGAAAGATTGTTTTTTTCTGAAACAGCAACAACAGCAAAAAGCTGATTTCAGTGTAGACTCCAAGCTTAACTCAAAAACAGAATACTTAGCAACAACTCTTTTCCACTAGTCAGACTGAACTAAAAAAAAATGTATACCAAAATCATCCATTTCATCCCAAGTATTCAACCCCTCTAAAACAGAAATTTCATTATTATTATTTGTATACATTTCCCAGAATATGCCCAACACTTTCAGCATACAATATTAAACTACCCACAATACTGTATCTGTAGTCACATTGTATATATGGAAAAAGCAACACCCTAGTTGGATAATTTTCTGTTCTAAAGTTCAGGTTTCAAAACACCTAAGAAACTCAGTTGCTTAAGTTCTAGTTCCAGTACATTTATTTTCTTCAACCTAGCATAAATGATAAGAAGTGTTGACTGGCAGATCAAAGAATCAATAAACTGTTTATTTAAATTAAATACCTTTTCCTTTTTGTGTTTGTGTTCTCTCTTAGTCTTGTGTTTCTCTCTGTTCTTCCTATGTTTTTCTTTCCTACTAGTCCCAGGAAAACTTGCTGGTACCACTGCTTCTTGTTGCCAAGTAGGGCCTAAAGCACAAAGCAAATGTAGAAACAACCAAACAAATGACAATAAAAGGTAATTTTATTATTAACTTCTATATTACTTTCAATCTAATAGGATAGTAAAAAAAAAAAGAAACCTAAGCTTTCAAATGGAAATGAAATGTCTAAAGCTCCTAACTGCAAGCTTCCTACTGTAACGAAATGCCTTTGCAATCTGTTATTAAAAGAAATTGCAAGGCTGGTCCTATGTTTTAATCCCAGTTTTTTATCATTGCCTCTACAGAGCTACAACAAAATTGGTACATGGGCAAAGAGGTTCCTGCTAGTGGATCCCAGCATGCTAACGAAGCATTTGCTGATGCCAGTTTGACCTAACACAGGCATTTAAGACATACAGAGTCTATTCACAAATGGGTTTTTAAAGAGAAATATTGTGTATCTTACATACAACTTCAGTGTGCAGAATTTACACACTAGAAGTCTACAGAACCTACCAGAAGAAAAAGCTGGAGGCAACTTTGGTCCAAATTCTTCTGTTGCATCCAGTTCCTGATTTGAAGTAGTCAACAAAGAAACGCCAGGATCAGTTGTATCAGCCACATTCTCTAAGAAAAAACAAAAAGCTTATTTATTTGAAAGGAAAAAAAAGGTAACACATTTTCCAAGAAGTGCTGAAGAAAGTTGAAGAAGGCTTTCTAAAAACCTCTACGAAAGGAAACTTATCAGCATTCTGTATCTCTGGGGACTGCTCTGGCCAGCTGAATAGCTGATGTTCTGAAACACGTCAACATACTGGTCTGGTTTTTTTTCTTTTTAATAAAAATTGATCTTTTACACTCTACAATTACCGATTAAATTAATATCAGTGCATGTATTTGCTTTTATTTAGTAACACAGTACTACATTTCCATTACTTAGAATGAAAAAGACTTCACAAGATGTATAAAGTTAATAAACACTAAAAGTTAGATGTTAACAGAACTAACCATGACAGTAAGTGGACAAAGTATTCCCATTGTAAGCCAAGTATATTGTGCATTTTGTCAATTTAATGACATTCTGAAAATATAGGAGCTTTTTACAGCTCACTTAATAAATTTTATTAAGTGGTAGAGTAAAAGATTGGTCTTCTCCCTCTCTTGTGGAAATAATCTGGCCACTTTTATAACTAGAACACAAATAAAATGCAACTTTTTGATGTCTTAATAGAATTATTTCAACATTACTTTATTGGAATGTCTGTATTTATAGAGTTAATTTAATTATCAAAGAAATGCGAGTTACTTATTTCTGAATTTGTCAAATATCGACCACAAGACAGTCATAATATATCAATGAATCTTGCAATTTATCATAAGTATAAAAGTTCCCCTGTATTTCTCAGTGAAGTATGCTCCAACATTAGATGTTCTGTTCCCCTTTACTGTTTAACAAGCATATTCCACAGGGCAGTTTGCTTGTAAAATCTACGCAAAACACTTGGCAATGTAAATAATACTGTAACATGCAAGGCCTGATACTCAGTGCACTATACAGGCACCCTTATCAGTGCTGTGTTATTCACATTTTCTACCTGCCCAGCTCCACCAATGCCAGATGATCTGCACAAGAGCACAGCATTCTCCTTACAGTCCTGGAGTATCTGAGTCATAAATTAAGTTTTTACAAGGAATTTATAAAAATGAACATCCACTAAGTACTACCTTGTACATTAGACGAAGAAGTGTCTGGTAGATCAACTTCCTTGGTGGTTTCTGAATTTATTACTGAAGTAGTTGGTTGCTGTTCTTCATCACTCTCTTCTTCAGAGGAAGATGATTTTTCATCTGAGGAACTC